GTTTGGATGTTTTTCAACAAATCACTGAATCTATTTCCCATTTTCCTAGTAAAATATAAAGAAAATGAGTGGCTGAAGACTTTTGCACAGCACTGAAAGGTAAAAGTGGTTTGTTCTGCCAACGTGCAGAAGCTTTGACAGTTAACTAAAGATGAAACCGCTGCTGGCTTTTACCAAATATAGAAGGTCTCTGATGTGGGTTTTAGGTGAGTGTCAAGTATGTAGATCACAGAGGTCAGGTCAAACCCAGGTCACCACCGGGGATGCCATGTTCCAGATTTTTCTGCACTGGGTCAGCATCACTTTGGAAAAAAAGAACAGTGCTGATCATCATGGTTGCAGTATGAGCAGGAAAAAAAAGATTAAATACATGCATGAGAGACAAGAGGGCGAGCTGTCAATTGTTTAAATGTTGTAAATGCACTAAATCAAAGCAGGGAACTTATAAGAAACTGGAAATCCATGTGTTCAGCATTTATTATTTAATTTGATTATGATTTTATTTAATTCATTTGTAGTTTTAGGCTCTTGTTATGCACTCAGCTGTTAACAGAATGTGTGTCAGTCTTCTTAAAATACTTCTGCTGGGCGATGGGGTGTGGAGCATTGGCGACCTGCAGAGTGAGAATCATTCCAAGGATGCCTGAACGCTGGGCAGACAGACAAATCTGGTCAATGAGCACTTAGTCACACAGTCACTGTGCATGTGTTTGCACAAAACTTTTAAATCATGACAACTTCCTATAAACTGGCTTTTTGTCAAGAAACCAGTGAATCAAAGTTATAATTTCCAAAACAGCTGGATTTGTACATGCTCAAACAACAAATTCCAAATTCAGGCAACACTAAATCCATTGAGCTAGCTATAAATGTTACTGTATAGTATAACTTTTAATCATTCATCTCATTCAATCTCATTGTAGATATTGTGTCAGTGTAGCATTCAAAGCTACAAGTCATTTATGATATGGTAAGCATAATAAACATGGTTTTATTGCATGTCGTTGAAATGAATAATGAATATCAAGGACACAGTCCTCCAGAGTTTTGTTAATAGTTGCCAAATATGCAAAAACTGATCAGTTCGATTACAGTGAAATACTTTGATTGTATTTTAAGTGAGTAAATCAGGGCATCTTCAGTTACAGTGTAAGCATGCGTCACTCATCTGTGGTGCTGCTTTAAGTGAACTACTGCCAGCCACACGGTATTAAACTACTACTGGAGGTGTATTTTTTCCTAATACCAGGTTCATCATCTAGCCCTTCATTTAAAAAGTGTCATCTTCTCAGAAATCACCTGAATCTTTCCATTAAATACATTATCATGGCATCTCAGAGATAACAGACCCAGTGTAGAGATCTACAAAGTCCACGTTAGGAAGTTGGAGGGTTGGCTGTGTCATAAATCACCAGTTTGTCAGCCAGCAGGATGAGCCATGTGTGTTTTACTTCTACTTCTATATAATCCTGTGCAATATAATACAGAATCCTTGCCATAAGTTTTCAGGTTATAGTTTGTAATGTTGAGTTTGTGTTATTAGAAGTTTGTAAATTACTGAAGCACATATATGATTGAGTTCAATTTGAATGTAAGTAAACATTGCTCATTGATTTGACCACCTGTCTTCACAATATTATGATCAATCTTGTTCAGGGGTTGCTACTATCATCTGCCTCCATCTCTCTCAACAACTCTCTCCAAGTCCTCCTTCACCCCATCATCTTTTTTTTCACCCACCATCCGGTCCATCTTCAACATCCTTTGTCCAATTTCCTCTGCAGTTATTTTTTTCTCTGCACAAATACGCATGTCAATTTAAAAAAGTTACATATAATTTCAAAACCATTTCCATCTAAAAAGTTATTTCACACTTTACTAAAA